CCTTCCTTCCTTCCTTCCTTCCTTCCTTCCTTCCTTCCTTCCTTCCTAACTTAACTCCTTCTCTCATTCCCATATCCATCCATCCCTTCCTCCCTTTCTTCCTTTCTTCATTCCTAACTTCTCTCATTCCCATATCCTTCCTAACTTCCTTCCTTCTCTCATTCCCATATCTACCCTTCCTTCCTTCCTTCCTTCCTTCCTTCCTTCCTTCCTTCCTTCCTTCCTTCCTTCCTTCCTTCCTTCCTTCCTCTGAACTCTTTCACGATGATGAAAATAGATTTACTTGAAAAATATATCCAGTTGCCCTCATGTGAACAAAAAGATACCAATCTTTTTGCTGGATATGATAACTTGACAGATGCCCAATTCTTGTAGTCTTTTCTTCCCTTACACCATGATCCATTAATCAATCTCCATTGCATAGAATTATACTAAAAAGCATGTTGCATATTGATAACATTTCCATAATTACTTAAGCACAATATGAAGATTAACCCTGGAAGGAAACCCGGAGGGAATGCAGCCACAGGAACTCAAAATGTTCTCTGTTTTGGTAATGAACGCCTTACAAAACTAGTTCCAATATTATTGGTGTGTGAGGTCTACTGCAAATGTTGACAGAAGGACTCCTGCCAACCTCAATAGGCATAGCGTGTGCCATAAATCAAAAGTTTCATGTGAGGCCAATTGTTCAGCTAAACCTCAGCCTTTCCTCCCTTTAAAATGCCCACAGTTTCTAGTTACATGCCTCTAAGTTTAGCTGTACTAGCATGGGTCATGCCACTTTTCATGTATCTTTCTGTATAAATTCACATGTTTAAATGCTTTTGGCAATACAGATAGTTCTCACCCTACAACCATTTGTTTAGTGTCTGTTCAAAGTCTATTTATTTTTATTTATTTATTTGGTTTGTCAATTGCTTACAAGATAAAATAGGTAAAAGTATAAACATGAGTAAGAATACAGGAAATAGGTATGAATAAATGGGGACAGTAGGACAGGGACACTTATGGTGCACTTAGGCATGTCCCCTTACAGACCTCTTAGGAATGGGGTGAGGTCAATAGTAGTTTGAGGTTAAAGGAGTGGGGGTTAGAGGATGTAACAACAGTGTCAGGTAGTGAAAAAAAGTGACTCTTTTTCACAGTTATAACCATTGCAGCGTTCCCATGGTCACGTGATCGAAATTCTGACCCTTGGCAACTGACTCATATTTATGTCTGTTTCAGAGTCCTGGGGTCACGTGATCGCCTCTGGCAAGATTAAGGCAAACAAATCAATGGGAAAGCCAGAATCACTTAACAACCATGTTACTAATTTAACAACTGCAGGGATTCAGTTAACAACTGTGTCAAGGCACATCATAAAATGGGACAAAACTCACTTCACTGTTTCAACAACAGAAATGTTTTGGGCTCAATGGTGGTCGTAAGATGAGGACTACCTTGAATGTCTGGTCATAATTTCATTGAATTTGTGTATTGTTCAGTAGGTTTCGTGCCTGCGATATCTGGGTTAAGATAAAGCAGTTTTATCTTAACCCAGAGAGAGTAAGCATGAAACCTACTGAACAGTACACAAATTTAAACAAGAGGAGACCAAGAGACAGCAGCAGTCTTTATGTTACTTTGTTGGTTGCCCTCTCCCCTCTTTGGAGGAGCTTTATAGCTCCCGCTGCCTTAAGAAAGTTCAAAACATTCTCAAAGATCCATCTCATCCTGGGCACCCTTTGTTGAACTGTTACCATCTGGCAGACGGTACAGGGCAATAAAAACAAGGACAAATAGGCTGAAAAACAGCTTCTGCCCCAGGGCAGTAGCTCTTTCGAATTCTGCTGTATAGTGCAGTGTTGGTGCGGTATCGGGGGTTTTCGGTTCAATGTGTGAAGGGTGATGGGTGTGTGTTTGTGTTTATTTTCATGGTCATGGTCATGATGTGCACTGAAGATGGTGTTTGATTTCATTGTACGAGGTGCAATGACAATAAAATAAAATAAACCATATTCTTCAGCAAAATCATGCTTGAAGCCGCTTTCATATTTGTTAGTCCATAGACTTAATGCAATCTTCATTGTTTAGCAGGACTTCCAAAGCAATGTAAAGGGGAAAAGGACTTTCCTTGCTATTTTTAAAAAAATCATACACGTGTAATATGGATCTTGAAAGATACATAAAAAGACTTCCATGACGATAGGAACTTTTGTTCTATTAATACTTTTTTAAAAACTGCCACCATCAACCACAGGCAGAACCTTAAAGTCTACATAGCTTTACTACCGGAAGTCCTCAACTTACAGCAGTTCATTTAGTGACCACTCAAAGTTACAACAGCGCCGAAAAAAAGTGACTTGTGATCACTTTTCACAGTTACGGACTTTGCAGCCTCCCCATCATCCATCATGTGATCAAAAGATGCTCGGCAACTGGTTCATAGTTACGACAGTTGTAGGGTCCCAGGGTCAAGTGATCACCTTTTGCGACCTTCTGGCAAGCAAAGTTAAGTGGGGAAGCCACTTAACAACCAGGTTACTAACTTAATCAATTGCAGTGATTCATTTACAAAGTCGTAAAGTGGGGCAAAACTCACTCAACAAATGCCTCGCTTAACAACAGAAATTTTGGGCTCAATTGTGGTTGTAAGTCAAGGACTACCTGTATTTAGAAAAGAGCAAGCCAAACGCTGTAATTATTGTAATGTATACTTTGAGGATGCTTTGCTACAGTTACTTCTTTTGGAATATTTTTAAGCAGATTTACTAAATCAGACCAATGTTTTAATTGTGAAATTATAGAATGTCGAAAGTGACTTAACCTGTATGAAAACTTAGAACTAAATCCAAGAGAAACTTGTCCTTTCCCAAAATGTAAACTCCCCCCCCCCCAATTGCTTCAATTCTCACTTTCTCTAAACCAGTAGATCTTACCAGTTATGTATATGATACACATAGTATTTTCTTGCTTTAAGACATGTTAACTCTTTCATATTTTCTGGATTAAAATTTTAATCAGATAAATGATGGATATTAAATGAAATCAGTAAAATATATTCTTGCTGCACTAATAACCAGAACCATTTTTTGAGGTGGAATAAATGAACAGGAAGGCCCTCAAATGTTATAGGCTTGGTTTAGCCTTCCTTATTTTAAAGAAAGTATAATGTGAACACATGGACTGGTAGACAATTATATTCATAATCTTAACTCTAAACTTGTGGGTACGTATCTAATTGTTGATTGTTAAGTCATCTTTTCTAGTCTGGGGTTGAATTGTGAAAGGCAGTTCCTCTTTCTTTGGGTGCTTACATCTGAAATTTTGTTCATGGTTTTGAAGAAAGCAGTTTTATACACTGTGAAAATGAATCCTTCTGGACTTTGAAAAATGCCACTATATTTATTATTAAAAACAAATCAATCAAATGTGTTTCACATGAGCATGTCTTAGCATTAACTGAAGGCTCAGAATTCTGGGAAATTGGAAAGGGACCAACTATCTCTGTCATAAAAAGCAATTTAAACAAGATCTTTATAAATTGTAATGAACGATACGGCTATCTGAAACAGTTCAAGTATGGATGACATGCAAAGAGTATGGATTAGGGCAAGGGTCTTCAAACTTGGCAAGACTTGTGGACTTCAACTCCCATTCAATTCCTGAGCTAACATGACTGGAGGAGGAATTTTGGGAGTTGAAGTCCACAAGTCTTAAAGCTGTCAAGTTTGAAGACCCCTGGATTAGGGTGTCCTATGAGATTTGCAGTATTGCAAAATTGAGAACAAACAGTGAAGGAGCAGTCTTTCTGATAATAAATTAAAATAATTTTCTTTGTATTTATATAAAAGAAAATTTCCATTGAATCCTTGTGCTTGTTTGGGGATTGTGCTAAACTAATTTTTTTTTTTCTTCAAACAGCGATTCTTTGGAACCCACACAATTTACTACTTGTACTGCTTCTGCAGTAAGAAGCATGCCTGAAAACCCAGAAAATGGTGCCAGTAGAACTATTTCAGCTGAGTCTGGAGCAGGATTCAAGCCCAAAGGACCTCAATATGCTGAGAAAACCTCAGGCTGGGAGTCTTCTAAGCAACCAGGTAAATTATTCAAGGTTTTGATTTGGTTGCTGATTTTGAAATCAAATGTTTTATATACAAATATTGATGCTACCTGATAATATTTGATGCCGAGTCCAGATTTGTGTGCTTTACTTTCCTTGAAAATTTAATGTTCAAATGCAATACAAAAGTATAGAATAACAAAATTAATAAAATTCATTTTCACAAATGGATCCCCTGTAAAGTAAAATTGTTGTGAAGAATGAAGACTGCCATTTTAACACAAGAAGCATGGAGGTTGGTTTTGCTTAATATTTAATTTATTCATATTGATTTGATGTGTTGGTATTATGTACCATATGGCACAAAAATATACCTTATGTCTCCATACATCTCACTGCACATATACTTCTAGTTAGAACAGAGCAGAGATTCAGGGCTGTCTTCATATGTGTAATACCATGACCCAGATATTACATTTCTATACGTTGGGTCAATTTATATAGACATGAGAATGTGAAATCTTAATTTGTGTTGCCTTGAGTTTAATAATGGAAGAAAAGTGAGCTCTCTTCTGCAAGGAAGATGGGTTATAGTCTCAATATATAATAATATATAGAATGAGGAGAATGGGGGAAAAACCAGTTGCCTATGGCATGGATATGATACATTGGCTGAGACTGCATATTGAAAGGCTCTTAATCTTGATAAGTTTTAAATAATTGTTTTCCATAGATAGGGGTCTTTCCCCCTGGGGAAAGTTTTTCCAGGGAGAGCTGTTTCTTTTGGAGAAAGAAGTTAGAAGAATTTCCTTCTCTGTCCATCCTTTTAAATCTTTTTTATTTTGTTTGTTTTAGCTCTGTTAAATCAAGGAAAGCTGAAGTGAGATCATAAGCACAGTCAGTTTCATTGAGCAACCACTTCATTTGACAACTAATTTGAAGTCACAATTGTGGTTTCTAAACAAGAACTACCTGTATGTTGTACTTAGAAATATGCAGAATTGAGTAGGGGGCACATATAGTTTTACCATTGTTATCAAGGGCCTAAATGAACACATTAACCAGGAGTATCTGTCACCAGCTTGGTTGTTATATCAGTTACGTTCTTTCCCATAGCTGATATAGTCACAGGGCTGTCCTATTCATGTACTGTACTAGTAATGTTTACTCAAGTAATTGTAATGTGCTCTGCTGCTACTATTCCTGATAGAATGTGGCATTTTCAGTGGGACATCCTTTTACACATAACTGTTACACTTATGCCATTAGCTACTAAGCTATTTTCAAATAAGGTAACCAGTCTGGCATATAACACAACCAGTGTTGTGTTAAAAAAAACTTGCTAGACTCTTTAAGACATTACTAATCACAATAAGTTTGCTGTCACTTGTAAGAGCACTATCTAGGAATAAATAACTCCTCTAAGTTTGATTTTTTTGACAATATGACCGACCATTCTCTCCTTTGGTATTTGTGAAGCTGCTATTTCAAGATTTTAGACTTATAGAGACCTTCGCTGTATGAATTTTAGGTATGCATTGATTTTTCTCCTCCCTGAAAGTTCCTCCCTGAACTTTCATTCAGTACAGTCCGCAGTGAAGGTTTAAGCAACAGTAATTTCATGCTGTTGTGTTTTAATCATTTTTTCCCCATTCAGTTGAGCTCCATGAAAGTTACGGTGCTTCAACATAAGACTTTAGCCTAGAATTAGATTAAATAACTAAATAGGGCACCATTACATTAAAAATCAAGCTTGTAATTATTGCTTTTTTCCCCCTTATGTATCTGTAGGTAGAACATACACTTATATACATAGCAATTTGGTAATTCTAAAACGAGCATATTAGCAGTTTTCAGATCTTCCATTTTTCCTTAGGCTGCAATAACACAACAACAAAGCAAACTTACTAAAAGGTTGACTTCATTAACTCGGTGGGAAATTTCCGAGTGAAAACGTATTGGATTGTACTGCTGAAATCTAATAAGGAAAGAAAACTATAGGCTGTTAAGCCAAGCAGGTGGTCCTTGACTTACAGCCACAATTTGGACCAGAATTTCCATAGTAAACTGGTGCAGTCATAAAGCAAGCCATACATAATTGGACCTTATTTTATGACTATTTTTTACCGCATTTGTTAAGTGAATCATTGTAGTTGTTTAAGTGAATCCAGCTTCTCCAGTTGACATTGGTACTGGAAAGGTTATAGATTGAAACTATATTTGCTCAGGATGCTGTAACCAGTCATAAATGTGGGCCGGTTGGGAAGTACCCAAATTGTGATCACGTGTCTGAGAGAGACAGTCATAAGTGACAAAAGTTATAAACACTTTTTCCAAGACCATTATAATTTTGAACCATTGTTAAACCAACAGTTGTAAGCTGAAAATTACTCATATATCTTAATTTTTTTTCAAACGCTTTAGTAAATATATTTCCAATCGAAGATTTCAATTCATTTGCATAGTAAACTCATAAATTAAACACACTTAATTGATTCTTGGCATGCTAATGTTTGACTTTTGTTTAAAATACTTTTGGCTATATGTAAACTGGATATGATACATGTGGTTCTTCAGACTTTCCAAATTATTTTAGAGTAATTATTTTTGGTGGGGGCGGGGGTCCGGGACAATTTATCATTATGTGGAATTCAGATTCTTCACTCTTATAAAAATTGTCAGTCCTGAATAAACTGAGAATTTATGTAGTTTAATTTTCCTGATGTGTTTCTCATCTAAAGCTCTAGAGCAGGGGTGTCAAACTCAAGGCCTGTGGCCCATGGGCTGGATCCGGCCAGTGGTGCCTTTAGATCTGGCCTGCGGGGCCACCCTGGAAACAATGAAGGACCGGCCTGAGGTGCCTCTGCCAGTGAGCATAAAATACCACCCTGGCTACGCCCACCCCCCTGGGCCCTGAGATCAAACACAAGCCTGATGCAGCCCTCAATGAAATTGTGTTTGACATCCCTGAGCTAGAGAATGTTTTCACCCATGATTTTACATTTGCATGGCAAAATTAAGGGTGCAATAAAGAAAAGGAAAAACAGATTTCTCCAGAAATTTGACAACTTTTTCCTGCCTGTTTGGCTGATCTCTGTCTTCACACAAAGGACTTTTTGCAAATTTTCTGGGATGGTTCTGTTGTGGTTACGCAATGTGGAGTCACTATCTGATCATTGTAGGAAGGTCTGCTGACTTTAAAACTGTAGGACTATCGGCTTGTTTTGACCATATGCAGAAGAGTTATTTTCAGTATAAAATACCTCTTTGCCACCACACTTTGTAATAATCTCTTTTGCTTTCTCCACTGTGATTTTAAAGATTTTCTACTTGGAGGAGAAAGATTAAACCAATGCCCCATCCCTTCCCCTCAAAAATCCCCTTTTGCAGAAGGCAAAATTTAGCAGAGAACTGTTCCATACTCTCTCTGCTTCATAGTAAAAGAAGAAAGACCTTCTGAGTTACTTTAAAAAAAATACTAATTTACTCTTTCAAGGTATTTTTAATCTATTTAGAACTGTTCTAGTTGTAAAAAGAGTCAGTTACGGATTTGAACTGGCATAGGCAAAGCCCAAGTTCTAGTTTACCTCAGATATTAAAGCTCAATAGGTATTCTTTGGACCAGTCAATCTGTCAGTCCAACAAACCTCACAAAATTACTGTTATAGGAAAAATTAGAAGGTGGAATACTATGTATGCTGTGTGCAGAAAAGAGAGGTTCCAAATCAATCAATCAATCACTCAATCAAATAAAGCAATTAGATTCAATCACACTTATGAATGGATGCATTTTTTTGAAAACTCATTGATAGGGGAAGGATTCATAATGATTCCTAGTTACCAAAAATGTATGTTTAATGTGGTAGGTAGTTTTAATTGGGTGGCCCAATGACTATGTTTGACAATAATTTTAGGGGGGATTTGGAGGTGTGATGCCTCAAAATACCTTGAGGTGGCGATAAATCACTGCATTTTGTACTTTCTTGAATGGTTTTCTTTTTCTTTCTTCTCTTTCTAATGGGAAATGAAATAGAGGTTAACTTTTAGAGGACAACCTATATTTTGAGTGTACAGTGTTCTTTCATTTATGGTACATTTAACAGAAATGATCTTTAATGTTTAACTTGCAAGGTATTCTGGATGGTGGTAGAAGTAAGTGTGTTAACCCCATGTATTTTATAACAAAGGCAGGGCAATATTTCAAATGGTGTTTTTTTTAAAGTTTCTCACGAATCTCATTGCTTGTAATTTATATTTATCTGCTGAAGTTTTTTTCCTTTGTTTTACTACTTTGTTTAATGGAATTAAGCTATTCTCAAGCAATGAGATTTGTTTTGGAAAGCTTGCCTTTTAAACTGAAAAAACCCAATACAGGAGTGAAAAAGTATAAGAATGTTTGGGGCAGACAAATCTGTGTTTGGCTGAATGTTAAGAGTACAATATAGGCATGTGATTCTGCTTGCTTTCCTTTCCATCATTAGGATGGAATCACTTTATATGCTTTAAAAGATATTTTGGTTGCAGTGATGCTAAGTGATAACCATGCTACTCCTCAAATTTACCAGAATTTGAAAATCTGATTGCAACCGGAGTTAAGTTTGGCCTCTATATAGCAGGCTGAAGTGATATGTGTTGTGGTGCTCTGAAACATGCATTTCTTCTCTGCAGGCTTTAGAAATGTGAAAAGATGTATTTATTTATGTATTTATTTTGTGTAGCTACCCATCTCACAATGGTAAACACCTCCAGTTCAGTTGAGTCCTAAGTTACCAATATTCTTTTCTATCTATAAGTACCGTCTTATTTTGTCTCCCAGGCACTAGTTCTGCTGTAATACCCCGAAAGGCACATATTTTTTATAAAGTGGACTTTTAAAGTTTTCCCTCTTTTAAGAAGCAACAACTTTTCCATGCCACTGCAAACACAGGACAGTGTCTGGATCAATGCAAACCAAGTATTTCAAAACTAAATAAAGAACCACAGTGTTTATTCAAGTCACAGCATTTTGTCATTGCCTTCCTATTCCATTCACCAGAT